GCGCTTCAGGGCAGGGGACAGCAACTCACAAAGTTCGAGGAAAGTCCCCTTCCGCATGCGAAAGTTTCGCAGCCACTGGGATTCATCCCAGACCTGAAGCACTATACGGTCCCACCAGTCCGTGCTTGTTTCCCGGGCCCAGAATCGCCATTCCACGATATCCACATGACCCATTGCCACCGTGATGTCCTGGGCGCTGGGGCTCGTGGTTTCTGACAGCTCTGTGCTACTCTCCGACTTCAGGCCATCACGGCGGTGTCGTAGCCTCCTCGCCTGATTACTCTTCATCTGCCTTAGGGAAAGGTGTATGATAAGCTGCGAGGTGTTGAGAACGGCCAGAAGTGCAGCGATGGTCGCAGCGTGATCCATGATCGCAGTGCTGTGGCGTCCGCGCTGTCACTGACCAGAAAAGTGCGCGAACTGATTTCCCGCCGGCGCTTTCATGGAGGGAGGGAGGGCGTTAGTGATGGACGGATGACGACAATTTTTTTTTACCCAGAAGGCATTGGCGGCTCGACCCAGAATTCCGATGGGCAGCGGGGACTGCGGGAACTGTGGGATAGCTGCCCACAGTGCACCGCTTCCAATAGCGACGCTCGCCCCGTTAGTGTGGACTCACAAAGTCGAATTACTGTCCTTAGTGTGTCCTTAGTGTGGACACACACGTTCGACTTTGCAATATCGATTCCACATATTCGATTTAAGTAAAATCGAATTACCCTCGTAGTGTAGACATACATTAAGACTCTGTGGTTATTGGGGGTTCTCGTCGGGTTTGCTGTGTCAGCTATCTGCGCAGAGCTGGGGCAGCACACAGAGGGAACACACGCACGCAGCCGAGTGATATCAACAGGAGAAAGCAGAAGCACCACCCCGGTAGCATCTCACAACAGTCTGAACTAGCCTTGTTTGTTTTATTGTAAGCACATTTTAAGGATTTTTTCCCCCACCCCCACCACAACATACATTTCAGCTTTTTGCTATACACACAAAAACACAAGAGCTAATTCTCACAAACAATTAATTTTTTTATTTAAAAAATATACAGCTTCTTGAAAACAAAACCAAGATGCTTCATTAAAACTTTTTAGCTCACTTAAAGGCCAAAGGCCTTCTAACAAAACACAAATAGTCACAACCCCCCCCCCCTTTTAAAAAAATTTACAGCTACCAAGTTTTATATCACATGTTTGTCCCCTCACCATTCTCTAACTTATTCCTTTTAGATTTCTTACAAATAGTTTTTTTCTTAAGCAGGGTTCTGTAACTCTTTGTGAGGACTAGACGGTCAATATAATGCTCTAAGCAGGCATCTTCTGGTTTGGTCATTTTCTTTAGAACACGGTCAGGGTCTGCACTGAATTGCACAGCATTTATCAATGTCACCCCTTGCGCTAAATGTTCTTGGGTTAGGCACAGACATTGCATACCATAACCTATGGCAACAACAGTGTTTAATAAGCTTTCCAAACACAGCTCAGCACACAGGCCCCGGAGCTTGCAGTTTATATACACTGAAGTCCAAGTCACACAGTCATGGTGCCTTTGGCCTGGCGCATCTATGACACAGCCCTCACAATCTTCAAAAAGCTTTTCCCTAAGGCAGTGTTTAAGGATAGCATAAACAGCAATGCGTACAATAGTCCACATGACTTTTTTACGCTCACGACGTGGCACTGGCTCAGTTAGTTCTATGCCAAGCCACCTCCTAAACTCCTCATAGCCATCATCCTCAGAGTCCTCTTCAACAACTTGTTTTGGCGTTGAGCAAAAACATGGTGGGGCCAGTTCATCTTCGCTGCTTTATGCAACGCTGTCTGGGTCCTCTAGAAAGGCATCATCGAGCTGTTGAGAAATTTTCAGAAAAGAAAACGTGTAAGCACCCCTCATTGCTTGTTTTTTAATTTACGCAACCCCTGGTTCCTACCCCATTACCCACACCTCCTTGACCACCGCTTCTTAATCATTCATTTTACCTGAGCGCTGTCTTTTCCATTCGCCTTGTCCGCCGGTGACTCCCCCGAGCCGCGATCGCCTTCCACCTCTGAGGGGGTGGACAAAGAGAGGCCGTCACGCTCATCGGGCTGTCTCATGAGGGTTTCGGGGTCGGGTTCTGGCGTATCCAGCCACGGCTGGGCCAAAGGGCTCCCCTCGGTCGCTCCCTCCTCCTCCTCGGAACTGTCGCTGATGTAGCGCTTTCTCCGTGGATGGTCAAAGACCCTCGGGGCTAAAACAATGTCCGAAGTTCTCACGGGGGTGGTGAAGGAGTCCATGTTTCCTCTCAGCAGGCTTTCCGTGATTTCGAAAACACGTGTCCTTGGTAAGAGATGGCCGCCTCCTCTGTCTGGCGCTGGGACTTATGGGGTAATGGTGCTGCACTCTGATTGGCGGAGGGCCTTGGGAGGAGTTCTTAGTAGGGTCACACTACTAGCTTCTGGAGGGGTCACCCCAACCCAGAAGTCACCCTGATTGGTCAAAATCTCCTCTCGGGGTGGTCCTGTCGGGACGAAACCCCTCCTGATTGGTAGAGGGTGGTGGGAGTAGTTCTTAGAGGGGTCACATGACACACCTTGCTTCCGGTCGGGTTGCACCTTGACCCCGGAAGTAATACCCCCACTGGGTGGGACTTCAGGTGACAGGTGGGAGGGACCAAGGGGTCAAGGGGCGGGGTTAGGGTTTGATTGACGGTAAGGCCCTTATACTACTGGTGAGGCTGGTCCTGTGTCTCTTACCACCAGGTTATCAAGGAAGGATGTTAGTATATTAACCCAAAGCTTTGTAGCATATAATACCATATTACCATATGTATCTTCTGAATAGCAGTAATACAATTGTAACTTTGCAACTCTGATTATTTTACCATTTAATTACTACTTCATTTATTTTAATAAAAAGTCTTTTCGGATATATCTGTCTCTGTGTGAGCTTCCTGTCATACTCCCGAGGGTCCTTTGTAAATCCTGTGGAGCCTGATTTGGGACAAGAACTTTTATCTTCTGATCAAACAGATTGGTGAGCCAGAAACCCATACTATCCAAATTAATATTATAAACCTCCTAAATCAGGCAACAAAGAGCTAACATCACTGCCCAGACCACCCAGCGAGACCCAGCCAGTGGAGGAGCTATTGCCCCTGCTAGGACCATGCAACAGGTCCTAACCCCTAGGCAGACCAGTATGGCCTCCAACACCACCCAATGGAAGCTTGCTCCCAGAAAGTCTCACACTGCATCAAAGTCCCCCCAGACAGAACTCATCCACAGAAAGAGCAGACTCATCCTGGAAACTCCCAAACAAGACCTCATCCCTAAAAGGACCAGTACCGCTGCCTCTAAATCTGTCCTTCCTAAAAGGACCAGTGCTGCCCTAAAATATGTAAGGGAAGACGCTGCCCTCGTTCCGGAGATCACGCCTCAAGATCCAGCCAAATGGAGTACTCAGCACTGGGAGGAAAATAGGCAACAGGCTAATCCTACAGCAATTTTCCAGCCTGAGCCTGCAGAGATTGAGCAGCCACAGGAGCAGCAGCCTTCGGTGAGGGCAGCCACCCCGTGGCAAGTTGTTTAGATAGAAGAGTTGGCAAGGACAGCCTCCTTCAATGACTTTGACCTCCTTATAGACAGACTCACTAAAGACCTGTCTGCAGAAATCGTATCTGGGAGGAAGAGAACTCAGGAGAACACAGCAACTGCTCACAGAACTCCTGAATCAGGCCACAACAACAACAACAACATGAGAGAAGCCAGGAGAAGGAACATCAGTCACAGCTATGATCCATCAGCAGCATCCAGGGTCCAGAAGCTCTACCAGTGAAACCGTCCTAACGATATGAGAGAGATCCTCAACAGGCCCTCATCTTACTGATAAATCCTGTCAGAGAGACTATTCGTATACTTCAAGAGTGTGTTCTACCGCTTAGCTCAGAACAGCACACAGCATCCGGTGTGCCTTCATCCTCTACCCCCTGTTTACTGTGCAGGGGATCTGGTACAAGACTTTACATCACGGGAAATAGAGACCAGACTTACAAAGACCAAAAACACAGCCCCAGGAAAAGACAGCATTTGCTATAACTTCCTGAAAAAACGAGACCCCAGTTGCTTACTATTAACTGCCATTTTCAACAAATGCAAAAAATTCTGTCATACCCCCAGCTCCTGGAAGAAGTCTATGATAGTGCTTATCTACAAGAAAGGTGAGCGAGAAAACCCCAGCAACTGGAGACCCATCTTTCTCTGCTCCACCATAAACAAACTGTATGCCAGCTGCCTTGCAGCTAGGATACAGACTGGTCTGTGAAAGGAGGAGCCATCAGCTCCATCCAGAAAGGCTTCATGTCCTGCAAAGACTGTTATGAACACAACTTTGTCCTTCACACCACCATCCACACAGCCAGGAAGGCACAGAGTCAGTATGCCATAGTGTGTCTTGACCTGGCTAATGCTTTTGGATTGATGCCCCACCAGCACATTTTTGCCATGCTGCGAGAGTTTGGGATGCTTGAAACCTTTCTCCAACTGATCCCGGAACTTTATGAAGGCTGCACGACCACCATCCGCTCCATGGAAGGAGAGACACCTGAAATTCCTATCCATAGCAGCATGAAGCAAGGTTGTCCCCTCAGCCCCATCATTTTCAACTTAGCCATGGAGCTGCTCATTTGAGCCATCTCCAGAGGTCTAAGTGGTTTTGACCTGAACTGCAACAACATGAATATCCTGGCCTACGCAGATGATCTGGTCCTGATCGCAGACAACTGAGAGAGTCTCCAACAAATGCTTGATGTCACCAGCCAGGCTGCCAACTGGATGGGACTCCGCTTCAATGCTAGGAAGTGCGCATCCCTGCATATCGATGGCAGCAGAAGGGACTTGGTCCAGACAAGGCCGTTTCAGATCCAGGGTGAACCCATGAGCTTCCTTGAGGACGGGCAAATGTACCAACATCTCAGCATGCCCACAGGTTTCCACATCCAGCAGACATGTGAAGATACCATTGCGGAGATCCTACGAGATGTGGCCAGGATCGACTCCTCCCTACTGGCACCATGGCAGAAGATCAACGCCTTGAACAACTTCCTGATCCCCCATATCTCATTCATCTGAGGGGATCTACCATGGTGACGGTACCTCTTAATAAGACAGACAACACCATCAGGCAGCTATTGAAGAAGTGAATGATTCTTCCCCAGAGAGCCAGCAATGAACTGGTGTACATCTCGCACAGGCAAGGTGGTGCCAATGTCCCTCCTATGGGTGATCTCTGCAACGTTCCGTTGATCACTCACGCCTTACGCCTTCTGGTGAGGAACATTGCAGAAAGTGCTATGCAGAATGTCATCAAGAAGCATATCGCAAGGACCCCCTCCAATCAAGATGTCACCACCTACCTGAGTGGCTCACTGGAAGGTGAATTTGGAAGAGATGGGGGAGACTTTGCTTCACTCTGGACTCGTGCCCACAATGCTACACGATGACTGGAGATGTGCATCAGCTGCCGCTTGATGTGGTGCGAGGAATGCCAAGATCTGGGTATCCTGGTGCCACAGGTGAAGAATGCAGAGCACACAATAATCACTCTTAGAGCTAGAACCATGCTGGAGAGGACCCTGAAGGATGCCATCTGAGGTCAATATGTGGAAAATCTGAAATAGAAGTTGGACTAGGGCAAGGCATTCGAGGTGATGTGCAAGTGGGATGCCAGCAACCACTTCCACTTGCTGACTGGAGGTTCATCCACAGAGCCTGATTCAACTGTGTCCTGCTGAATGAAGCCATCTGCCATGGAAATCTGGACAAATGATGCAGGAAGTGCGGCTATGCCAATGAGACACTACTCCACATCCTGTGTAGCTGCAAGCCCCATTGCAGAGCCAGGCATGATCATCTAGTCAGAGCCATCCCACCACCCATAGGGAAGGTGGCTGTGAACTCTGCCATCCCTGGAACTGACAGCCAACTGCGACTGGACATCATCAGCACCAACGAGGACCAGAAGAAGAGCATGATGGTGGACATCACAGTTTCCTTTGAGAACAGGACCCCGGCCTCCCGCGACACCTGAGCTTGAAAGGTGGAGAAATACGCCCAACTGGCCGAAACCTTGAGAACTAAGGGTTACCATATTCAGACACATGCGCTGATCATCGGAGCCCTGGGCACATGGGACCCCAGTAATGAGTGAGTGTTGAGAGAATGCGGAATCGGTCAGCACTATGCTCGGCTGATGCGGCAACTCATGGTATCGGATGCCATCAGGTGGTCAAGGGACATCTACATAGAACACATCATCGGACATCAGCAATACCAGGAAAGATGAGCTGGAGTGCCAATGAGAAGCACAGTGGGGAAAGTAACTGTAATACGTTCCACATGGATTGTATTTTCTAAATGGACAGTCTACCCTAAATTCTCAAGTACTGAGGGACAATCTTCACTCATTATCAGTGATTTCAGCTCCATTGTTGTTGCAACAAGACTCTCTCTTGAGTCTTAACCAGCTCTGTTATTACACAGTGAAGAGAGGAAGGATCAGATGGTATGTAGGACCCTGGGTCATGGCCCACACCATCAGCTTCAAGTACCTATCCCCAACCTGTCTCAACTCCACTGGGCTTTGGCATACATGTCTGCTGCCTAGCAAGTGCAATTTAGTTGAGGGTAAGTCCCTCAATCAGGGTATGCCAAGAACAGTTCTGCTGCCATTGATTAACACAACGAGAATAACAACGCTTTATTACCCGTGCCCCCAATAACAAAGTGATTTGTGATCCAACACCAGCAAAAAGTGATCACTTTGGCAAAGCACCCCCATCATTCTGAGCATCTAATCAGGGTGGGTGTCTCCATGCAAACAAGATCAGCCCCTGAAGTCCTGTTCCCCAGCTCATCACTAGATGTCTGGGGAGGGCTCATTCAGACCCTGATGACAAATCCATACAAGCTATTCACTTAGTTCTGCTACTCGATTTTCACACAAGGATTAGCCAAATGGCCAACTCAAAGGAATCATACATACTCTACAAATTTACTCTAATTAGTTCCATTTTGTTAAACTCTAGCCAAAATTAATGTTTCTCTCTCAGTTTATATAC